CACATTGGGTATTACTGCACAGATGCAAAGGGCCTATGTCCAGGAGCTGTGAGCAAGAAAAAGCTTGCGAGAGTCAGTATAGGCCAGAGAAGCATCAGGAAAACCAACCAGTGCAGCAAGTTGATCAATCTGTTAATTACCAGGGAAATCAGAAATGCCAGAAGAAAACCACAGCCCAGCAGATGATCGTCGTTGGAGAGAAAAATAACACATGTACTGTGTGTGAGAAAAAGTTCAGTCAGCGCTCAAATCTTATTAGACATCAGAGAATCCACACCAGGGAGAAATCTTATGAATGCTGTGAGTGCAGGGAAACCTTCACTCATCTCTCGCACCTTATTAGCCATCGCAAAATCCACATAGGGGAGAAACCCTATGAGTGCTGTGAGTGTGGGAAAACCTTTGCGCATCATTCACAACTTGTTAGACATCGGAGAATCCACACTGGGGAGAAACCCTATAAATGCGGTGAGTGTGGGAAAACCTTTTTTCAGAGTGCAAACCTTATTAGCCATCAGAGAATCCACACTGGGGAGAAACCTTATGAGTGCTGTGAATGCCGGAAAACCTTCGCTCATCACTCAACCCTTACTAGACACCAGAGGATCCACACAGGGGAGAAACCATATGAATGCTGTGAATGTGGGAAAACCTTCTCTCACAGCTCAGGCCTTATTAAGCATCACAGGATCCACACAGGGGAAAAACCCTATGAATGCTGTGAGTGTGGGAAATCCTTCACTGATCATTCAGCCCTTATTAGCCATCAGAGAATCCACACAGGGGAAAAACCCTATAAATGCGGTGATTGTGGGAAGTCTTTTCCTCGCAGCTTATCCCTTATTCAGCATCAAAGAATCCACACAGGAGAGAAACCCTATGAATGCTGTGAGTGTGGGAAAACCTTTGCTCAGAGTTCAAACCTTATTACACATCAGAAGATCCACACAGGGGAAAAACCCTATGAATGCTGTGAGTGTGGGAAAACTTTTGCTCATCGTTCAACCCTTACTAACCATCAGAGAATCCATACAGGGGAGAAAATCTATGAATGCTGTGAGTGCAGCAAAACATTTTCTCAGAGCTCGAAACTTATGAGACATCAGAGAATCCACACAGGAGAGTGAGCCTATGAATCAGTGGTCCCCAACCTTTTGGGGCTGCCAGACACCCGGGGGCGGGGGCTGCGCATGCGCCAAGCACCTAGGGTGCAAGAATGGCTCGGGCCGGCCCTGGTCACTAGGCGGGCTCACATAAATGTCCCGGTGGGCACTATGGCGCCCGTGGGCATTGCACTAGGGACCACTGCTATGAATATTATCAATGTGGCAAGTTCTTATATCAGAACTCAGCCTTTATTTATAATTAGAGAAGGGTACGAGAGAGAGAGAGACCATAAAAACCCTGTATAACACACAGAAGGAGCAGGATTAGAGAGAGAACCAGTTTTTTTTTTTTTCAACCTCTGTGATACCTGAAGTGGTAACTCAGAGAGTTTCCCACCTTCTGAATTGCTCCAATAGTGTTTCCTTTCTTTACACCATGTAGAATATATGTTCTCACTTTCTACACATCCACCTCTCAATAAGTTACATGACTCAGTGTTCTCAGCCATCTTCTTGGGAATCACACTTTGTTTTATTTGATCCTAAAACATGGTAATTTAGAGCATGAGAAGATAGTGTCACTGAACCGGAAGGGGTGTTTGAATGGGTCTCAAATACAGAATAATCTGGAGTTTATATCCCATTTTCTAACTATTGGCAAAACCTCTTCTGGTATTTTTCCCATTGAGGTGGGATTCTCTGAAGATGAAAAGGGTATGTGTGTGTGTGTGGGGGGGGGGGGGGTCCTTTTAAAATGATACTAGAAGTTTTTTAATAATACAACTCAATAGTAATGAATGGAGCAGGTTTCAATGGGTCAGAAGAGACTGTCATGGGAGAATCCCTTGTCTTGGTTCTGACTCATCCATTTGCTCTGGAATTTCTAAATGATATGAAACTAGATGGATATATCTTATACTTTTCTCATTGTGGGTTTTTTTTCTTTTAAGGGCCATTTGGTCCCACAACCAGATGTTAGTTTGACTTGCCTGACTACAGCTCAGGTTGTACAAGGCCTGTCTTTTGGAGATGAGAAAATGATTATTTACTCATCTAGTCTTTTCTTAATTTATTTTTGCTTTTCCCTGCACCTTGCATGATGAGATAGAGAAACTTCAAGTGTAGTTCAGGCAACAAGGAAAGAACTGCTGTTTTTAAATCTCCCATCTGAAATAGTGATCAACACACCCCAAATTCAGCAACAAACTGAAATAACTGGATACAATCAGTGTTGTTCAGTTGTTTAGGTCAATATTTTTTCATATGCTCCAAGAGAGAATTCCACAGTAAGGGCACGTCTTCACTACATGGAAGATTGATGCTGCCATGGTTGATCTTTCAGGGTTTGATTTAGTGGGTGTAGTATAGACCTGCTAGATTGAACTCAAAGGGAATCTCCGTTGGTGCCAGTACTTCCACCCCTCATGAGGCGTCAGGGAAGCCGACAGAAGTGTTTGCTCCTGTCAGACCCCCTGTATGGATGGGGATTTACGTAGTTGGAGTTGCATATCTTACTTAAACCTTCCCCCGTAGCATAGACCAGTGGTGCACAACCTGTGGGTCGTGACCCCCAAGAGGGTCACAGATGTCTTCCCGAGGGGTCACGGCACTTAAATCCGGCTGGCTGGGGGCTAGGTGAGGCCATGTGGTGCGGCACTTAGATCCAGCTGGCTGGTGGCTGGGCCCAGCAGTTGGTGGCCTTCACAATGCAAGGGTTGCAGATCAAAAAAGGTTGCGCACCACTGGTATAGACCAGGCCTATGTGAGTAGGGATAAGGCAAAAGGTGCACGTGTTTATTTACCAAGGCAATTATGACCAGGTACTAGTGACAGACTGTACCCCTGTATGCACAACCTGCACATTCTTGAAGTAATTTTTGTACAAGGCCTGTCTTTTGAAGTACGGTTTAAAAGTTCATAATTTGCTACTTAATTGCCATGAACATTTTTGGCATGATGTTATTATAGTAGAGGATGTGGCCTGTGATGAGTTGTCATCCCCAACCTGCATTCTGGGCATTGGTGCACCTGCTGTGCACCCTCAGGGTATGTCTAGACTGGCAGTATCCTGGAAAAACTCTGCTGCGTCCAGAGAATACGTTTGTTCTTTCCGCAAAAAAAGAAGAGCAAAAGCATTCTCTGGACGCAGCAGAGTTTTTCCGGGACACTGCCAATCTAGACATACCCTGAGGGTGCACAGCAGGTGCACCAATTCCCAGAATGCAAACGTGCTTTTTTGGGGAGCCCTGTATACCTTGTTCTGTGAGGAATAAGGGCTCCTCCGAAAGAAGGCTTTTCCGTCATTTGGCCCCATCTAGACGGGGCCAAATGACGGAAAAGTCTCTTCTGGAAAAGCGATTGGAGAAAGCTATACAAATTGCATGCAGAGCGTAATTCGCGTAGCTTTTTCCAACAAAGAACTGTAGTCTAGACCTAGCCTCACAGTCCAGATGGGTTGGCCTTCCTCATGCTGTTCTGCTGATGACTCAGCCAGCCTCTTTACTTCCTGTTATCACTCAACATTGATAGTAGGTAGCAGCACATATCCAATTGAGCTGAGTTGCTTTACCTAAAGCCCCTCAAAGACAAATGAGATAATAGCCAGTTTTCCAACTCCTGAGCCTTGCACTCCTCTGGAGTATAAACTCAGTTTTATACTATCTTGTACGGCACAGATTTATAAAGCACAAGCTCGTTACTATATGTCACTTTCCTTTCAATGTGGGAATGGTAGGCAACAGAACTGAGATTTTTCCCAGACATTTCACTCTTTACAATCAGTTAAGTTTATTAACTATAGAAGATATATTTAAGCTATTATAAATGATAGCAGTGTCCTGCCTCCCATATTTTATTAAAATAGGCTTATGAATATGCGTACCTGGAGACTATTTTATGCAAAATAGATCATGTAACAGCACTGAAAAGTTTGTAATCTACTGAATGTGCATATTCTATTTGTGTACTAGTATCATATGAAGTATAAAACCTATTTACTAATCTAGACCTGCTAAGCAAGAGACTTTGGTGGTAGTTAAGGAACACAATGGCCAGGTATTGGAAACAGTGATCTGTGAATACTCTTACATTTCCTGTAAGTCTGAACTATAGTTGGTACTAGCAAATATGTGGCCAGTTTATCTGATGCTGGAACTTATTTTGGATCTGTTACTCTTCCACTGGTAATGTGAAGAAATTTAAACACAAAAGATTCCCACAATGGGCAAAATCTATATATATGGGCTGGGGGCTAAATATTTGGTGATGCCAAGTGCCCAGAGACCCCTGCTTACCACCTAAGATGTCTGCTGAAAACAACTAAGACTGAATGGGGGAAGGATCAGACCCAAATTGGGAGGCTGCCTTGCCTGTGAAAAAAGATTATTAGAACTATTGTTAGTGTAAGGATTTGCCTGTATCAAGCTTCTTGGTGTATTTGGCTTAGTTTGTGTATTTTGTTTTATTTTGCTTAATAACTAACTTTGATCTGTCTGCTTTTACCTGCGACCACTTAAAATCCTACTTTCTAGACTTAATAAAATTGTTTGTTTATTAATAAACCCCGTATAAATAATTGCTACTTAGGGGGAACACAGCAGCTTTGCATATTTCTCTTTCAGGGATAAAGGGAGCAAACAAGTTATAAGCTTGCTGTATAAACTTTATATAGTGTCAGATTTATCTGGGGGTTTGATCTCATTTGGGCTGTGCATCTGAGAGCTGTGATTTACTTCCAGAGCTAAGTAGTGGACTGTGACCCCAACTTTGTGCCAGGGCTGGAGGAGGCCAAAAGGCCTGGCTTATCAGGACAGGTGTTGGAGCAAACCAAAAGTGAAGTAGCTCAGTGATGTTTTCAACCCATCAAATGACAATCCCAAGGAGATCTCAGATACATCCAGTCACAAACAGATTAAAGCAGATTACCTAACAAATCAACAATTCAAACCAAGTCTAATATACTAGATCTGTGGTTCTCAGACTGTTCCATTGGTAACCTCTCACATAGTAAACCTGAGTGTGGCCTTGCCTTATATAAACTAAGCCATTCTTTTGTGCTTAACACTAAATGCTGGAGACAAAATGTGATTTCCGAGTGGATGCTGACAGATCACAATTTTCCATGTAATTGAGATCACTGTACTAGATAGATAGGATTTGCATTAGCAGTTTTTCACCCTGACTGATAATACAGTCCAAGTTCCCATACACAGGCTAGATATCCCATTAGCTTGGGCCCAGCACTTTCCCCAGATCAGTCTTTGTTCCTTAGATGTTCCCAGAAGTTTTCTTGTGTGGGGAGTGAGGCCCACAGATTATGCCATTTCTCATTTTATATAGAGTCTCCATATGGCAGGAACTCTTTGTTTCAAGCTAAGTTCCTAGCCAAGTTTACTGAAAAATGTAGTTTCACACATACAGAATGGGAAGCGACGGTCTAGGAAGGAGTATGGCAGAAAGGGATCTAGGGGTTATAGTGGACCACAAGCTGAATATGAGTCAGCAGGGTGATGCTGTTGCAAAAAAAGCAAACATGATTTTGGGATGCATTAACAGGTGTGTTGTGAGCAAGACATGAGAAGTCATTCTTCCGCTCTACTCTGCACTAATTAGGCCTCAGTGGGAGTATTGTGTCCAGTTCTGGGCACCGCATTTCAAGAAAGATGTGGAGAAATTGGAGAGGATCCAGAGAAGAGCAACAAGAATGATTAAAGGTCTAGAGAACATGACCTATGAAGGAAGGCTAAAAGAATTAGGTTTGTGTAGTTTAGAAAAGAGAAGATTGAGGGGGGACATGGTAGCCGTTTTCAGATATTTAAAAGGGTGTCCTAAGGAGGAGGGAGAAAACTTGTTCATCTTGGCTAGATGGATAGAATAAGAAGCAATGGGCTTAAACTGCAGCAAGGGAGGTTTAGGTTGGACATTAGGAAAAAGTTCCTAACTGTCAGGGTAGTCAAACAGTGGAATAAATTGCCCAGGGAGGTTGTGGAATCCCCATCTCTGGAGATATTGAAGAGTAGGTTAGATAAATGTCTATCAGGGATGGTCTAGACAGTATTTGGTCCTGCCATGGGGGCAGGGGACTGGACTCTATTACCTCTCCAGATCCCTTCCAGTCCTAGTATTCTATGATGATCTGCTGTCTGGAGCACTCTCAGGAAGGCTAAGTTCTTCCATGGTTCAGTGTCTTTGTTGATGAGTCATCAGCAATTATCTGGTTCCTTCATTGTACTAGGATTGTAAGTGACTAGTTGACTATCTGATAAGCAAAAGATTATCGGATAGTCAATACACTAGTCGCTTCCCCCCCCTTGCAGGCTGTATCAGAAAGAGGCAGTTTCCCCCCAGCTCCAGCTCCATGGGAGGGGGCAGGGGCGCAGCAGCAGTGTTCCACCTTTGAAATGTTCAAAAGTCCCTGCTGGGGCTGTATTTATGTCTGTAAAATACTCACAAGCTATGTCTACACTTGCGCCATAAATATGCAAATGAGGCTGTGTGGAATATCGCCAAGCCTCATTTGCATATCTAATGAGCCGCCATTTTTGCAGAAGAGGCTCTTGCGCCAGAAAGAGCTGTCTACACTGCCCCTTCTTGCGCAACAAAAACCCTCTTGTGCAATGCCGTTCTTCCTGAAAAGTAATCGGTGTAATGGCATCGCGCAAGAAGGTTTTTGTTGCGCAAGAAGGGGCAGTGTAGACAGCTCCTTCTGGCGCAAGAGCTTCTTCTGCAAAAATGGTGGCTCATTAGGTATGCAAATG